ACGGCAACATGCTTGCCAATTTACCAACAAAGACATGAGGCAATTTTTGTTTAATAAAAACGAAAAATTAAATATTAGATAATATTCTCCTTTATTGAAAAAAATTTTTATAATGACCCAATTGTTTTAGTATCCACGAATATTGACTTCAATTATTTTATTCACTAAATGTTGTGATTCAATTTACATATATCGATGAACTAAAAGTTTTACTATTTCAGTGCAAAAGAAATGAGATTTCTGCAATTCAAACATTAATTTTTATTGATTTGTATCGAATAGTTAGTTCTAAATAACGATTTTAAATACGTAAAGATTTATTTTCAAGGATAATAATAGTAAGCAATGCTTTGTAAAGAAGGAGATTTTAAAGATTTGCCAAAACTGTAAGTTATCTTAGGAAAAATGTTAACATTTTCATCAAGGCAAGTCCAATTACTGGAAGACCCATTGAATCATGCCAAGAAGAACTAAATAAAGTGCAAAAAATAAATGTTGAGAACTATTGAAACATTTCTAATGGATAAATGCAAATGCAGACAAAGTGAGAAACTTGCGTGAGAAAATGATTGCAGTTGTGGCAGCTATTTTGTTGAAGGAGAAAATAATGCAAGTTAGAAATGTTTGAATTTATAAAATTTTGAATAAATTTAATTAACGCAAGGGCCTAATCACTTTCTAAATATGCCTCCTATTTGAGGTAATAAGTTGTAAGAACAATTCTAATAGTTGAACTTCAAAGTATTACGATCACCATGGAAGTAAAATTTCAAATCTTAAAAAATCGTATTAGATAGTTAGTCAATAACCTCCATCAGTAAGCTTTATGCTGTAATATACGCAAGTGTGAATTCATGCAAATGACGACTTACCATCGCTTGTTGTCGTCTCTGAAAACATCAACATTTGCGTTACACTGGGGTCTATTTAGTATACAAACCAACCACTAAACAAATGCGACATCATTAAGGGAGACTTTTACTATGGTAATCGATGGTGCGATTAAAAGAGTAAAATGTGAGCTTGTCCTAATATTGTCCTAATTGATAAGCAACCATTACAATTGAATAAAAAAACCCAAAAGTAATTGGATGTGTGTAGAAGTAAATGAAATAATTTGAATTGGAATATATTTAATTAGCGAAGACGAAAACCGTTTTAAACTCAATTGAGTCATAAGATTGAAAATATTGTCAAAGTATTAAATCAGATGCAGTTAAGAATGATTGAATAGAAATAGAAAGGTGAGCGCAAATATTCAATAACGAATTAAATAGAATTGACTATTTTTTTTCCAACACACACGATGTTAAATAAAAAGTATCATTCTGATTAAAATGCCAATAAAATTGCCGCGAATGTAAATATTGATTGGATCATAAAAGAGCGAACTCCCATGTTTCCATATAAAAGGAATTCATAAATGTGGAAAATTATTCACAAACACGCCAAATCCAATGATCGTTGGTTTTTTTGCTTTAATCTTTGGGTAAATTAGTGCCTGTTTTGGAATAGACGGTTCTGTTTTGTCAGCTTCGACATGTTCAAGAATCATCTCAACTTCAAGTGGCAAAACAGACTCAATGGGTTTTTTTATAAGCGGTACTTTGGTAAAAATTTTTTTTCAATGGCATCACACATCGCTGCCACATTTAGTATGTTGATGTATATTTGAACGGCTCCAATCAGGAGATACAGTTTATTGGAAATAAATGTATTCTTGTAAGATCCGAAATCGGGGAGCCTTGCAATAAGGATTCTGGTAAGAAATTGAATTTTGAATTGAAAGGATCTAATCGATAACCTTTCAAAAGATCCAGTCATTGTTACTCTAAACGATCCTTCACCATTTGAATCACTAATAGTTTATGACGTTGAATATTCTTGCGTTGCTACATTCGCTCCTAATTGTGAATTCAAGTCAGTTGAAGATGGTAAGAAATGCAATATGTTAGAGTGCATTATATAAGATAAATAAAATTATTTTTAAAGAATTTTGCAAATTCTTTGGCCAACATTTGTAGGAGCGCTTTTACCGCAAAACTCGTTTCCGTTTACAAGATTTGAAGTAGGAAAACAAGCCGTCAATATCAGTTTTTCTGTGAAAGGAACGAATTCCAACTGGAGGGTGCGTTTACATTTCAACAAGATTAAACACTCATTGTATTGGAAATTTGATGACACATATTTTAGTTTACGTTTCCAAGTGACATTAGATTTATATCACCATTAATTTGATCGAAATTACTATTTTTACTTTCGTACATTTCATAAATTTTAGGTCAATTTGATAAAGGAAAAACAGATACAGTGTTCATGGAATGGGAAAATTGTGGATGCGAAAAACAACCTTAATAATTGCGGTAAGCAGATTCGAATTAGAATGAAAATTATATTAAAGTGGATTAATTGCACCTTTTGCAAATTTAACAGGCAACCTGATCGAAAACACGAAGCTAAATCAGTTGGATTACACCTTTGAGTACAAACGTGAAAATTACGAAGAATTCACACATTTTCTAATTGAAAGTCCTTCGTCAGTGGTAGGGATTTCTGTTTATTGGACAAGAAAAGGTATTGCATGTTCTAAACAAATCATATTTTTCTTGTTAAATTTGACTACCCGAAAATTCCTGTCCTTTTAGGCCCGTCGCCTGATGTAGTGGAATGCTCAAGTGGGTTTCAATCATTTCTTTTTAATCTCTTTTCAAATAAATTGTAATTAAATTATTTTGTTTGCAAACAGAATATGTATCTTCTACGACAACAAGTACGCCCTTTCAATACTTATCATTTCCTGAAAAATACAATTTGAATTTTTTTCTTCGAACAGATGGAAAACATTGTAAACTTAAAATCTAAGTACTGATGAACAATTTGCTAAATCAAAATTATTAATTTGAAATTGGCAATCGGTGACATTGATTAGTAACTTCGATAGTTTATTCTGTAAAATTGCGATAGATGAAAAGCCTTAAATGTTTGTGGAATTTGAATGATACACCTCTTGTTCTTATATTTGGTCAGAACATTTGATGAGGATGGCAGTTCTTACTTACTTGAAAAGCTCTACAATCACTGAAATTTTGATGTTTTTTCAGAGACGACAACAAGCGGTGGTAAGTCAGCGTTTGCATGTTTTGCGATTCGCGTATATTGCGGCGTACTATACTGTTCGATGGACGTTCCATGAGCTTAGGTATAATTATTAAAATTTAAATTAAAATATGATTTGTGCTCCTTGAAAGTTTATTTCCATGGAGATCGTAGTAATTTGAAGTTCAACTGTTGACAGGGTTCTTCGAATTTATTACCTTAAATATAAGGCAAATTGAGAAATTGAATAGAACCTTGCGTTAGTTAAATTTAAACACAATTTCATACATTCAAACATCCTTAACATTTTTCAATAAAACAGCTTTCACAACTAGTCACACTTTCTCAGGANTCGAATAGATGGGAAACATTATAAGCCTGAATTAAAGTACTGATGAACAATTTGGCAAAATCGGAATAATTAAGTTGAAATTTGCAATTCGTGACTTTGTTTAGTAGCTCAATTCGTTTATTCTTTAAAAATGCGATGAAGGAAATGCCATTAATGTTTGTGAAATTTAAAAGTTACACCTCTTGTTCTAATATTTGGTCAGAACATTTGATGAGGATGGCAGTTCTTATTTACTTGAAAAGCTCTACAATCACTGAAATTTTGATGTTTTTTCAGAGACGACAACAAGCGGTGGTAAGTCAGCGTTTGCATTTCTTCATACTTGCGAATGAGTCTATCAATTCCTGCATTGGAATTTAAAAGATACACCTCTTGTTCTTATATTTGGTCAGAACATTTGATGAGGATGGCAGTTCTCACTACAATCACTGAAATTTTGATGTTTTTTCAGAGACGACAACAAGCGGTGGTAAGTCAGCGTTTGCATGTATTCCGATTTGCGTATATTGCGGCGTACTATACTGTTCGATGGACGTTCCATGAGCTTATGTATAATGATTAAAATTAAATTTAAAATATGATTGGTGCTACTTGAAAGTGCATTTCCCTGGAGATCGTAGTACTTTGAAGTTGAATTGATGACAGGTTTCTTCAAATTTATTACCTCAAATTTGAGGCAAATTAAGGAAGTGATTAGACCCATGCGTAAGATTTAAGCAAAATTTCATACTTTCTAACATTTCTAACTTTTTTCAACAAAATAGCTTGCGCAACTAGTCACACTTTCTCAGGCAAGTTCCTCATTTTATTCGTCTTGGCACATTTGCTCTTGTTATTTTTTAACTGCTCTCTAAGTATTTTGCAATGTCTAAATTANCGTTTCCAAGTGACATTAGATTTAGTTCACCATTAATTTGATCGAAATTAATATTTTTACTTTCGTACATTTCATAAATTTTAGGTCAATTTGATAAAGGAAAAACAGATACAGTGTTCATGGAATGGGAAAATTGTGGATGCGAAAAACAACCTTAATAATTGCGGTAAGCAGATTCGAATTAGAATGAAAATTATATTAAAGTGGATTAATTGCACCTTTTGCAAATTTAACAGGCAACCTGATAGAAAACATGAAACTAAATCAGTTGGATTACACCTTTGAGTACAAACGTGAAAATTACGAAGAATTCACACATTTTCTAATTGAAAGTCCTTCGTCAATGGTAGGGATTTCTGTTTATTGGACAAGAGAAGGTATTGCATGTTCTAAACAAATCATATTTTTCTTGTTAAATTTGACTACCCAAAAATTCCTGCCCTTTTAGGCCCGTCGCCTGATGTAGTGGAATGCTCAAGTGGGTTTCAATCATTTCTTTTCAATCTCTTTTCAAACGAATCGGAATTAATTTGATGTGTTTGCAAACAGAATATATGTCTTCTACGACAGCAAGTACGCTCTTTCAATGCTTATCATTTCATAAAAAACAATTTGAATTTTTCTTCGAATAGATGGGAAACATTATAAGCCTGAATTAAAGTACTGGTGAACAATTTGGCAAAATCGGAATAATTAAGTTAAAATTTGCAATTCGTGACTTTGTTTAGTAGCTCAATTCGTTTATTCTTTAAAAATGCGATGAAGGAAATGCCATTAATGTTTGTGAAATTTAAAAGTTACACCTCTTGTTCTAATATTTGCTCAGAACATTTGATGAGGACGGCAGTTCTTACTAATGTAAAAAGCTCTTCAATCACTGAAATTTTGGTATTTTTTTCAGAGACGACGACAAGCGGTGGTAAGTCAGCGTTTGCATGTATTCCGATTTGCGTATATTGCGGCGTACTATACTGTTCGATGGACGTTCCATGAGCTGATTAATATTTAAATTAAAATATGATTGGTGCTCCTTGAAAGTTTATTTCCATGGAGATCGTAGTACTTTGAAGTTGAATTGATGACAGAGTTCTTCGAATTTATTACTTTAAATATGAGGCAAATTGAGGAAGTGATTAGGCCCTTGCGTTAGTTAAATTTAAACACAATTTCATACATTCAAACATCCTTAACATTTTTCAATAAAACAGCTTTCACAACTAGTCACACTTTCTCAGGAAAGTTTCTCATTTTATCCGATTTGACACATTTAACTTGTAAATTTTAACTGTTCTCTAAATCATTCAATAATTGACTATATCTTATACAAATTTTTATTAACAAGAATATGGCTGCCACCATTGTTCTTATTACAAATTGTGTTTGCATCAAACTATTCGATAAAAATTGATTAGCATATTAATGTGGGATTTGTGAAAATGTGATTATTAGAGATAATGGCTGAAACTTGAAAATAATAAAGTAGATATAATCGTAAAAAAACTGAATTTTACGATTAAAAATTGCCATAATTAAGATTAATATTCGTGCAAAGCAAAGCACTAGGGTCTTTTCAAAAAAGCT